GGGTCGGGGATGGGGATTGAGGTCCCCACCCCACCCCGACCCCGATTATATGTGTGTGTGTGTATATATTAAATGTTATTTATATTAAATATAATATTATATTGTTTATATTATATATATATATCAAAACATATTTAAAACATTATTTTAATTTTAATTTTTTATTTATTTTAAATAAATTTATTTTAAAAATACTATTATCTGAAAACATTTTGGGGATTCGGGTCCCCACGGGGAACCCATCCCCGTTAGGGATCGGGGATGGGGGTTAATTTCAGAATCGAGGTCGGGGCCTTAGGCCCATGATTTCATTAAGGAGTGTCTGTTTTGCCCTTAGGCCCATGATTTTTTATTCCAAAAATATCCCTAACACTTTTTTTGTATGAAAAACAAAATTGAACAAATGTAGCCAATAGAGTGGTTGCCCATGTCTTCTTTAGGGAAAAAATGGTATTTTTATTTTTATTTTCTTTTGACTAAATTTATTTAAATGAACATTAGGGTCAACACTATCATTTTCCATTGTCATCTAATAGAAGATTGATTAAATCCATTGCAAATTATAAGTGGAGTTTTAATAAAATGATAACTATAGGGTAGACTTTAGTAAATCCATGAAACTATAAGGGGTATTTTAGTGTATGACCATTTTTATTATTTAGCTTTCTCTTAATAAATCCCGTGCATCGCACGAGTCCCCGCTAGTATATATTAAAACTGGTCCTGCCATGTCAACATGTCTCTCCTTTGAGAGAAGCTATTTATCTATTTTCTCCTTTTTTTGATTGTTTTATTTTTTAATTCCATGTCAAAACAACCAATGAGATGCACTTTCCCAATAACCTAAATAATCTCTTCTCCTAAAATTACTCCTAAACTACCTCCCCCACTATCCCCCACTTTCTCCAAAATTATCTCTAATTCCTATTTAACTTCTAAATTATCTCCAATTCCTATTTATATCCAAAAATATCTCAAATTTAGTAGAGAGTTTATCACCTAAATTATCTCTAGTTCCTATATATCCTCTCTCATACTTTTTATCTATATCTATCTAAAGAAAGTATGGTTTAAAAAAATTAAGAATTATTTAAATATTCTAACAAAATTATAAAATAACTAAAATATTTATTAAAAACACAAAAAAATAAATTTATATTTTTACAAAATATATCACGAAATTATGTACTAACAGTTTAAATTATGTTTTTCTGGATTATCAATTTAAATGTTTTTAAAAATTTAATAATATGTAATAGATTTAAATAAATAAAATTCAAATAACAAAAAAATTAAATATTTTATAGATTATTTAAATATTTAAATAACTAAATATTTATCACAACTAGATTTTAAATAGTTAAAATAACGAAATTATGTAATAAATTTAAAAATTTTGTTCAAAGTAGAAAAATAATTATAACATAATATTTAAATGAATAATAATTCAATATATTACAAATTTAATAATGAAATTATGTAATCATGGTATAAATTATGATTTTATGGAAAATTAAATTCAATAAATAATTAATATTTTAAATTTTAATTATTTACATATTATTTTAGTATTTAAGTAACTAAATATTTTAAATAAAAAAATATTTAACATAACTAGATTTTAAATAGTTAAAATAAATAAATTATGTAACAAATTAAAAAAATATATAAAAAGTAGAAAAATAGTTATAACATAATATTGAAATTAATAATAATTTAGTATTTTTACATAATATTATAAATAAATAATTTCACTTATATCAACTAATAATTCGAGAAAATAACTTTCAAAAAATAATATTTATTAATAATAATTTTAAACTCTTAATCTATATTTATTATATAATTATATATAATAAAATTAATATTTAATGTCTTTTATGATAAATGTATTTTCAATAAGTATGTATAAATTTATTTTGTCAAGTTATTTAATAGAAAATTTTCAATATATATTGGAGATTACATTACTACTATTGAAACTTTTAAAATTAATTTATTGCACTTATCGTATTTATTGTGTTTTTGTTATAAGTTATTGATTAATATTTAGTAGATATTAAACTATTATTTGAGATCATACTATTTATTGACTAAGTTAATATATTTTTAGTACTTATTGTATTTTTATAATTTCTATAATTATTATAGTTTTCATTATCAATATATTTTCAATAATTTTGTATTTTTTCTATAAATTTTCAATAATTATGAGAGATTAACTATTGTTATTTTTAGAGATAAGACTATAATTTAGCTGAAATTATGAGTGTTCATGTGTTGGTTCGGTGGTCGTAGGCTATTTGGCCAACCAAATTGACCTGGTCAGGTTAGGGAGTTGGTCAGCTGAAACCGACTAACCTTTTGTGAAAACCGACCCACTCAAGTTGTATTGGTTTGGGTCGATTTTTTGGTTTGGTTAGTCTATTCAAAAGATTTAAACTTAAAAATTTAATTTAATTTTAAAATTTATAGTGTGATTATTAAATAATAAATATAAAAATTAGATTTAACATTTTAGATTAAGAAATATGGGAAAATTCCCACTTTTTCATATTAAAAATTATATTGAAAATATAAAATATTAATATATATCGATGTTTAGGTCGTTCGATTTTGGTCGGTTTACAAATGGCCAAAGTGGAATTGATCCAACTTGGTCGAATTGGGAAATTTTTGAACCAAAGCCAGCCTAAAATACTAGAAAACCGACCAACTCGAGTCAAGTTAATTGGGTTGGTTGGTTTCATCAATTTGATAAATAAACCTAACTGAAATTAATTATTGTTATTTTTGTATTATTAAAAGTAGTATATAAAATATGAATAATTATTAATTATTTAAAAAGTTCAAAAGATAAAACAATTGTATACTCTTATGTGTTTCTATTAGGGTCATTTATTAGAACACACTTTTAGGGACGACAATTTTCCCCATCCCCGACGAGGACCTAACTTCCCCGACCCAATGGGGCTGGGGATGGGGACTGTTTTGGCGGGGTGGGGGCGAGGGCAGGGACGAGGATTAATAGGAATCCCCGATCGAGGTCGGGGTCGGGGATGGGGATTGAGGTCCCCATCCCACCCTGACCTCGATTATATATATATCTGTGTGTGTATTAAATGTTATTTATATTATATTATATTATATTATATATTATATATATATATCAAAATATATTTAAAACATTATTTATAATTTAAAATTTTTATTTATTTTAAAAAATACTATTATCTGAAAATATTTTGGGGATTCGGGTCCCCACGGGGAACCCATCCCCGTCAGGGATCGGGGATGGGGGTTAATTTCAGAATCGAGGTCAGGGCCTTAAGCCCACGATTTCATTAAGGAGTGTTTGTTTTGCCCTTAGGCCCATGATTTTTTATTCCAAAAATACCCCTAATATTTTTTTTGTATAAAAAACAAAATTGAACAAATGTAGCCAATAGAGTGGTTTCCCATGTGTTATTAAGGGCAAAAATGGTATTTTTGTTTTTATTTTCTTTTGATTAAATTTATTTAAATGAACATTAGGTCAACACTGTCATCTAACAAAAGATTGATTAAATCCATTGCAAATTATAAGTGGTGTTTTAGTAAAATGCTAACTATAAGATAGATTTTAGTAAATCCATGAAAATAAGGGGTATTTTAATGTATGACCATTTTTATTATTTAGCTTTCTCTTAATAAATTCCGTACATTACATGAGCCCCGCTAATAAATAAATAAATAAACAAATAAGAGTGATAACCTAGTCTCGGGCCCCATCAGGCCAAGTGGGCTTTGGGCCTATGGTATTGATTAATTAAATTATAAAACTTAAATATTAATAAATATTTTATATTATATAAAATATATATGTACAATAATTCTCCCACGGACCGACTTATAAGTCCCACCACATTTTGGACAAACATGACTGAACCTTTTCATGTCATTATTTACTTGAATTTAACGGGCAAGCCTAGCTAATTAAGCTAGTCAAAATAACCCATCAACTCTTTACAAAAGCTCTCGGCGACTTGAGTCTAGGGGTGCAACAGTGCAATTTGGGCGGGCCCAAACCGAGCCGGAATTAGTCCAGTCCGAAATTTTTTACGGGCTGGGCTTGGAATTTCAGTCCTTGGGCTGGGTGTGAATCCAAGAAATCGGGTTTTTCTATTTTTTGGGCCGGGCACAGGTCTAGCCCTGATCAAGCCCGGCCCAACTATATGCATATGTATATATATGTTAATACATATTTACATATATATTCAAACATATTTGTATATATATATATACATTTGTATACATATTTATCTATTTATGTACATATTTTGATTACATATATACATAAATATATGTATACATATTTGCATAAATATATATATGTATAATTTTAGAATGAATTCATTAATCAACCCAAACCCAGCTCGGGCCTGAGCCCAACTCAAATTCATCAAATTACAATGCGGGCTGGGCTCGAATTGGGAAAATCGGGCTTGACCTCGGCTCAGTCCGGGCTTGGGCGTTTAAGTCCAAATTTTAGGGCCGGGCCCGGATTGAACATAAACCCGGCCCCAACCCGCCAAACTTGGCCCCCTACTTGAATCATCAGTCACCACAAATGGACCAAAATTAAGGACACTTAGGTAGAAACTCGAAAGCCCAAGCACTCACATCTCAAACGGACTTCACGTGGTTAGACCACGTGAAGCTTGAAACATGTTAGGTTGCTGAGGAGTGGGGAAGAGGAATCTAAGCAACTTCAGTACATATATGGACCATGGAGGTTCTAATTAACTTCAATCTTGAAAGAAGAATTACAAAATAACTTTTCAGCTTTAACCATTTAAAACGTCTTATAATTGAAGTTAATGAGAGAATTTTCTGTATTTTGTTCATCAAAGCATGTCGGTTGTTTTTCAAAAATCTTTCTCTCGTCCATCTTTCTATTCTTATTTAAGCCTCACCAAATCAATCAAAACTAATCCTCCGACATCACTTGGGGGGGGGGGGGGAGAGAGAGAGAGAGAGAGAGTGCTGCTGCGGAGAAGACATGGCCAGGAACATAGAGACCATTGAGAATGGAGTCCTAAACGAGAAAACCTGCTATTACACCAAAATCCCCGATGGAGATTCATCAATAAAGTCCAATATGGCCAAGTGGTGGCTCCTCGGAATAAACTGCGTCTGCACTGTTCTGGGCACCATCGCCGGGCCCTTGTTCCTGAGACTTTACTTCTTGCACGGTGGTAACCGGAAATGGATACCCAGTTGGTTACAAACTGCAGGAGTCCCGGTACTACTCGGCCCCCTCACAGTTCTGTACTTGCGTGAACGAGCATCTGGCGTCAGGTTCTTAGCTCCCACTAAGCTCTTACTACTCAGTGCTGGAATAGGCATCCTTGTAGGACTCAACGACTTCATGTACTCGCATGGCTTATCATTCCTACCAGTCTCCACTTCTGCGCTCCTCCTCTCAACCCAACTCGGCTTTACCGCTCTCTTTGCTTTGCTTATTGCCAAGCAGAAGTTCACTCCTTACTCCATAAATGCGGTTGTGCTGATGACATTGGGTGCAGCCTTACTTGGGCTGTCGAAGAGCGGCGACCGTCTTCTTGGTGTTAGTAACAGAGACTACTGGTTGGGCTTCGTCCTGACTCTCGGCGCAGCTGGCTTGCTGGGTTTCATCTTACCTTGTTGCGAGGTTGCTTATGCTACAGCTCGCAAGACCATCACTTATTCTGTGGTATTGCAGTTTCAGTTTGGAGTGAACTTCTTTGCTACAGTATTTTGCACCATTGGAATGCTCATAAACAAGGATTTTCAGGTAAGAAACAATTGCAAGGCTCAGAGAATATACATACAACTAATTAATAATTCATGGGTTTGTTTATTTCTTGGCCATTTGATTTCATAATCAATTGGGTCCTCCTCATATATATTCATTAATGCAGGCGATTCCGAGAGAAGCAAATGCATTCGAATTAGGCGCAGTAAAATATTACTTGGTGCTGGTGTCGATTGCAATTGTGTGGCAGATGGCAGGAGTGGGCACACTAGGAGTTGTCTTCTCCACCACGTCTCTGTTCGCTGGAGTCCTCAACGCAACGTTGCTTCCTCTCACGGAGACAGCAGCAGTGATTGTATACCATGAGAAGTTCACAGGAGAAAAGGGCATGGCACTAGCTCTCTGCTCTTGGGGCTTCATCTCTTACTTCTATGGATCCTACAAGGAGAAGAAGAAGCAAGATGCACTATTTGAAACTGGGTCGAGGTGATGAGTGTTGGGAATAGTTTCAATAATTTTTCTTTGTGACAGAGATTTCTTGTCTCAAATATCAAACATGCAACAACAATAATACAAATAAAAAAAAAAAACAGAGCAAGCAACATTAGACATCAAATTTTTATGTGGAAAACCCCTCAATGCGAGGGTAAGAAACACGGGATAGAAGTCCAAAACATCTACTATCAGCAATAATAATGGGGTACAATGTTTTACTGTCTAGTTACAACTAGATGATGAACCTCAAAATAACTCTTGGATACCAATAACAGAAATCATCATTAAATTGGACAGTAAACAAGAAATTTTTCACCAAAGGTGGAAGCACAAAAATGGAAACAAGAAGAAAAGCTAAAAACTAGAGAGCTATTTTTGGAGTTGAGAGAGTAGAGAGAATAAAGAGAGCTTTTTCCAATTCGTTGGTTAGCCAAGGACGTATTAGCTTGTCTTGCAAGACAATGCCAAAAAGTCTCTTGACTTTTCATTCATTTTTTTTTTTGTCTTTTCTTCCTTTCTTTTTCTTGTAATTATTAGCAAGTCCCACCTCATAAGGAGGGAACCCCAACAATCTCCCCCTCCCGACTTATGAGGAGGGCTGCACCATGCCCAAACTTGCAATGCTTCTACAGTATTCAAATTTTTCTTTCGGTAAGGCCTTGGTCATCATGTTTGACCCATTTTTATCAGTGTGAATTTTTTCAAGTTGCACTTTGCTTTTTTCAAAAACATTCCGAATTCAGTGATACCTCACATCAATGTGTTTGGACTTAGAATGAGAGTTTGGATTCTTACACAAGTGAATGGCGCTCTGACTATCACAAAGAAATATAAATTTTTCTTGATTCAAACCAAGTTCATTTAAGAACATTTTCATCCACAATATCTCTTTGCAAGCTTTTGTGACAGCTATGTATTCAGCCTATATAGTAGACAAGGCTACACGTTTTTGCAACTTGGATTGCCATGACACTACTACCCCAGCAAAAGTAAACAAGAAACCTCATGTAGACTTTTTAGAGTCAATGTCACCTGCCATATCAGCATATGTAAACCCTTCAAGTATAAGTTTACTATCACCAAAACACAAACATATCTTGGACGTGCCTTTCAAATACATGAGAATCCATTTTACTGCAAGCCAATGCTCTTTGCCTGGATTGATAATAAATATACTAATCACACCAACTGCATCTGCTATGTCCGGCCTAGTACAAACCATAGCATACATAAGACTTCCTATTGTAGAGGCATAGGGAATGTTCTTCATTTCTTCAATTTCTTTTTCATTCTTTGGGCTTTGATCACTAAACAATCTGAAATGATTTGCCAATGAAATACTAACCGATTTTTCTTTATCCATGCAAAATCTCTCAAGGACCTTTTCTATGTAGTTTTCTTGTGACAACCACAATCTCTTGGATTTCCTATCACGTGAGATTTTCGTACCCAAGATTTGTTGGGCTGGACCTAAGTCCTTCATGGAGAAATACTTGCTTAACTGCTTTTTTCACTTGTCAATTTTTGTCTTATCTTGCCCAACAATCAACATGTCATCAACATATAGCAAAAGAATGATAAAATCATCACTAGAAAAATACTTAGTGAAAACACAGTGATCTGAAGTTATTTTACCATACCTATGCTCTATCATAAAAGATTCATACTTTCGGTACCATTGCCTTGGAACTTGTTTCAAACCATACAAGCTCTTCCTTAGCTTGCAAACCATATGTTCTTTCCCTTTGACTTCAAATCCTTCCGGCTGTTCCATGTAGATGTCTTCTTCCAATTCACCATGGAGAAAAGTTGTTTTGACATCTAACTGTTCAACTTCCAAATCCATACTTGCAGCCAAGGCCAATGTAATATGTATTGATGACATTTTTACCATTGAAGAGAAATTTTTATCAAAATCGATGCCCTTTTTTTTTGTCCAAATCCCTTCACAACCAATATTGCCTTGTACCTTGGTTGTGAGATCCTATCTTCATGCTTCAACCTGTATACCCATTTGTTCTTGAGTGCCTTGTTACCCTTGGGTAGTTCCACCAAATCATAAGTATGATTCTTATGCAAAGAGTCCATCTCCTCTTGCATAGCATTGAACCATTCTTTCTTATGCTTACTTTCTTGATCCTCATGATAGCTTTTGGGTTCACCTGCATCTAAAAGCATTATGTACTCATTTGGTGGATATTTTCTTGATGGTTGGCGTTCCCTAGTTGATATTCTTAATTCATTTGATGGCTCTTGAGGGGGCTACTCCCCCTGTTCATCATCACCGTTGACATCTTCATTGAGAACATTCTCATTATTTTCTGAATTCACATCTCCTTGTTGCACATTTCCCCCATCATTTCTGTGCACCAAGAGAGAAGACACTGGATCCAAGTCTATAAGTTCACCATCATCTGCTTGAGGCTTCTCAACTTTTTCAAAGTCTTCAATTGTTTGGTCTTCAAGAAAGACCACATCTCTATTTCTAATTATTTTCTTTCCCACCGGATCCCATAGCTTGTAGCCAAACTTTTCATTTGCATATCCTAAAAAAACACACTGCTTGGTTTTGTCATCAAGCTTAGACCTCTCATCCTTGGGTATATGCACAAAGGCCCAACAACCAAATACCTTGAGATGATCATAGGAAATATCTTTTCCTATCCATACCCTTTTAGCAACATCACCATTCAAAGGAACTACAAGAGACAAATTAATCAAATACACAGTTGTACGCATTGCTTCTCCCCAATAACATCTTGGCAACTTTTCTTAGGACAACATGCATCTAACTCTCTCTAAAATGGTGTAGTTCATTCTCTCAACTACACCATTTTGTTGTAGGGTCTTAGGAACTGATTGCTCATGTCGAATGCCATGATTTTTACAATAATTTTGAAATGGACCTTCATACTCACCACCATTGTCAGTACGAATACACTTGAGATGTCTACTTGTCTCTCTTTCAACCATATCATGAAAAACTTTAAAGACATCTACTACTTGATCTTTAGATTTCAAAGCGTAAGCCCATACTTTTCTACTAGTATTATCTATGAAAGTAACAAAATAAGATGCACCACCAAGAGTTTTGACTTTCATAGGCCCACAAACATCAGAATGAATTAGTTCTAAAACATACTTTCTTCTATGAGGAGGAGAGCTTTGAAATAACTCCATTTTGCTTACTAATTAAGCAATGAATGCAAGTATTAAAATGCGTACCTTTTATGCCGATTAACAGACTTTTCTTGGCAAGAATATGCATTCCCTTCTCGCTCATGTGTCTCAATCGTCTATGCCACAATTTTGTAGAGACTTCCTTCTCTATGGTGTTCATTTCGCCTTTGCAAATACGTCCTTGTGTACAGTAGAGAGTGCAGCACCTGTTGCCTTTTGCTACCACTAGAGACCCCTTAGATAGCCTCCATTTTCCATTGCCGAATTGATTATTAAAACCTTTTTGCATCTAGCTTTCCAACTGAAATCAGATTTAAGCGGAGATCTAGAATACGCCTGACATCCTTGAGAACTAATTTACAACCTACGTCAGTCTCAAGGTAAATATCACCCATCCCCACAATTTTGGAAATTCCACTATTTCTCATTCTCACAACACTAAAATCACGTACTATAAGAGATGAAATATTCCTTGTGAGGAGTAGTAGCATGATAGGAAGCACCCATATCAACAATCCAATCAGTGTCATGACATGCTAAATTAATGCATGACTCTTCACAGCCTGTGAGAACAATGATATCTCCACTTGTAACTGCAGTGGTGTCATTTTCCTCATTTCTATCACTTTCTTTCCTATCTTTCTTGTTGTCCCTTTTCAGTTTTTGACACACACTCTTGTAATGACCATGTTTCTTGCAATGAAAGCATGTAATATCATTCTTTGACTTGGACTTACCTCTAGACTTGTCATGCTTATGTGGACCTCTGCTTTGGTTTCAACCCTGGCTTTCTGTAAGGAAAGCATCCGGTTTTGCATTCATTGATTTTCTCCTAATTTCTTCATTTAGCAAACTATTTCTTACCATGCTTATTGTCACTATTCCATCGGGTGCAGAGTTGCAAGCCAATGCCAAAAAGTCTCTTGACTTTTCATTCCTTTTTTTTTTGTCTTCTCTTCCTTTCTTTTTTTTTTTTTTGTAATTATTAGTGGGTCCCAACTCATAAGGAGGGAACCCCAACATTGAATCGACCAAAAAGCCCATATATACAAGTTGTTTACTTTGATTCATATAAGAATCATGAAGGGCTACAGGGGCTTAAAGAAAAAAGAAAGAAAAGGAATCATGATGGCCTTTGGATCATGAAGGGCTAGGGTTTCTTGTTTTCTTTTTTATTTGAAATCTCTGAAGTTCCTATAAAAAAAAATGTTATTTGTTTATCAAAAGTTTCCATGAACCGAAATTTTAATTACTTGATTCAAATGATAAAAGTATAACCCGGTTAACAGGAAAAGTTGTCCAGAACATAACAGAGTTCAATTGAGCAGTTACCAGAAGAACTTTGTAGCATGGTCTAGATGATAATTAAGTAGTTGGTAGTTGTGATGGTCTCCCGTTTCCAACACTTTATGTATATGTAATGGTGTTTAACTCGAAAGGGAAATATTGAACAGTGACGGCCTTCATCCAATGTTGTAAGTGAAATACAAAGTAACCAGAATGAGGGCAAAACTTGAGTGATTGTATTTTGAGTCCTCTATATTTATATTTGTATATTGATGTATGTACACTTCGCTAATAGTTATTTGTAAAACACAAAGGATAAGAAAATAGAAAGATTACAGAAAGATAAATACAAGATTATGATAAGGAGATGAAGTTGATCACAAATCTAAGTCTCCAAGTGCGATGGAATTCAAATCCTATCAGACTTATCTCTGTTATATATGAACGTTATCAACGCTCTGCAAGTTGATAGGGGTTACCACTGTCGACTTGGATTTCAGAGTAGAGAACCGCAGGCCTATGCTATGAGAGAATTGGTAAAATTGCCAACCACTTGATCAGTTGAGGAGATAAATTTGACAATAATGTTCTTTTGTGAGACTTGTTCTCATACGAAGTGAAAGTCAAA